CACACACACACACACGCACACACACACACACACATTTCTTCCGCAAACGTTACAATACGAGATGTTGTTGGGGATGAATGTGTCAACTGTCTTCTTTACAACACGACCCAGGGTATTGACGAAATGCCAAGAGAAACAACGTTAAATGCACACCTCGGTGCCAAGGACACGCTGCCACTGAAATGTTTTGAAAATGCATGATCAAATCGAGGACTATCAATTTTCCTGCTTTTTGTGCTAAACTTTGGTTGCGAATATTGACTTTTGATACCGCCTCTTGATAAAATAAAGTCAACTATTGAGCGTGACTTAGTTCAGAAAGTAGAACTGGTGGGCTTACGACATGTAGTCATCATTTCCTTACTTTCTGTCCGCTGTTTCTATTTCTTCTTGCTTTCTTTTTCTCCCAAATGTAAGTGCGGTACATGTACATGTATAGTTTTTTAAATTCTCTTTACTATACCCCCTCCCCCTCCCCCAAGGGGCTCTCTTTGTCTAGAGGTTACGGAGTTCGCCTCTCATTTAATAGGTCCAGGGTTCGAATCCGGATTGCGATTGTAAACGTTTTTCTCTAAAATGTTCTCCTTTCACCTTTTTTCCTGCTCTCTAACAATGCTCTGTCGTCTGCTTTCGTCTCCACTTTCTGCCCCATCGCCCCATTTCCTTTACCCACCTCCTCTGGGCTCCTGACTCTTTCTGCAGCCTTTCTACTGCTACTCCTCGGCTCCTTCTTACTGCTGTCTTTCAGCCACACCCCTGATCTTATGGTAGGTAAGATCGAACACCTAGGCTTCTCAGATAAGGGCAAAAAATGTCTGAGGTCCCATATGCAAGTTGCGCACGTTAAAGATCCCTTGGTGGTCCAAAATCGAGCGCAGTAAAACACTCACACCCCCCCCAACCCCCCATCTTTAGAAGTGTGAATAAGGTCTTTACAAAATATCATGTCAATGCTGCCTTATTCCACGCCGAAATTTTGGGATTTTATTATTTTTTGTAAGAGAAAAAAAAAGTTTGCGGTCTAATTGCGCTGTTGATTTGTATCTCCAATAGTTATGGCCATGTGGCTAAGAGCGTTTCGTCAGCGATGAGATGGTTCTGGGTTCTTATCACGCTCTCAACCGCTTATAAATAGCATTGAATGTGTATTATTCTCCACGGTTATGGTAGAAACAATATCAGTAAGTTGAGCTGTTTTGATAAGAATAATAATAATACGTTGGTCCTTAATCACGTGACTTCGCCTGGAACAGATAAGAGATCATGAACACAAAAGAAGTAGAAAATGCAGATAATACTAGAGAACTCAATGATAACTTGAGCTGTTCCTCTTTGACTGTCATCGAAATCTTGTCTCCATTAGCCGCCTTGCACTGAGATGACACAGCAGACTAAGGTATTATATATATTTATAATAGCCTTGATCGTCCACTGTCAAGTCCACCCTTTTTGTTCTGAATTTTAAATACAACTTTCGCCATGAAGTGAGCTCACCACTTGCGCCCAAATGAAGCTATAGCCGAATGCGTGAAGTACCCCCCCCCCCAAAAAAAAAAAATTTAAAAAAAAACTCCCTTTTCCGTCACCAAGTCTTGGCGACCTAGAATCAACCCGAATAGTATTCCTCATAGTGAACAGGAAGTACGTCACAGTGCACGATCTTGGCTATTATAATAACGTGTAGGGCCTAATATGTTTATGGATGACTCCGGAAAAACTGACTTTCCGAAACAGCGGTTGTCTATCGTACACATTTGTACTGGTCCAGCTCTTGGCCTGCACGCAAAGAACGTGAATTTGCTTCTCATCTTTCACAATAGAGTTTATAAAGTGTTTCTGTCTTTCTTGCACACAGCTTGAGTAAATCGTGTCTAACAGGGACAAAGCAGCCAGATTCTTTCTCATTAGGGATATTTCATGCATTCTGGTCATTTGACAACTCAAGAAGATGTTCTGTTTTGGGACATAACTTCATTATTCAAACAGATTTTTGATTCCTTTTTCTTTATCTAAAACTGTAAAAAGCATGCAACAACATGCATACTATTAAATATGCAAATTCGTGTTTCTGATGTGTGTATGATGGTTCCAAATGTTGTGAAACATTTACTCTGCTGCTGATCGGGCACAATAATTATTATGTGCCTGCTGCATCCTCAGGGTGTTAACGAATCGTTCGTAGTTCAGGTCAAATAGCGACAATGCATTGCCTTCAACCCCTGAAACTTCTAAAATCTCACTTCCAAAGAGATAACAGAGATCCCCCCCCCCCCCCCCCCCCCGCAAAAAAATCCCTTACAAATAAAGGTATAAAAATGTAGGTTGCTTGATAATGAAAGGATTAGTTTTAGTAGAGGTTTTACGGCGCTCGCAACTGCATAAGGTCATATGAGCACGTTAAAGGATAACAAAAGGATACAATTGCTAGTTATGAAATAACATGATATTTATTTGTTCACGTAATTGTATCACATGCAGGAGCTGATATAGAATAAATAGTTACAAACAAATAGTATATTGATCGAAGTTGTCACGCGAAGCCTTACTTTGAGAGCGAAACTGAAACCCGTCAAACGTCTACATTTACGAGCAAAATGAAAGAGGGTGGAGGCAGGGTGTAAAAAGTGGAAATGAAGACAACATAATATTGTTGGAGCGGGCCGGCGAGGACGAGGAGCTGATAAAAAAGGAGAAAGCGGGGAGTCTACATGTGTTAAGAGGAGAGAAGGAAGGAAAAGAGAGAGAGGGAGAGAGAAAGAGAGAGAGAGAGAGAGAGAGAGAGAGAGAGAGAGAGAGAGAGAGAGAGAGAGAGAGAGAGAGAGAGAGAGAGGGGGGGGAGTAGGGGGTGAACAAGAACACTCTTCGATGTTAACCCACTGTCACCCTTATATACCTGGTTTGCCTTGAACAGCAAGATTTCTATGATTTAGAAACTATGCATTCTTCAACTTCGTGGACAAAGTGATGGCCCCTCAACAATGTGGACATTCTACCAATGTTCCATAAGTCAATAAACATCAAACTTATTATGATATTTTTAACTTCTGCTTACGTTTCCATTGAAGCCCTCCATAGTGGCTTCTATATTATTGTCTCTCCCTATGCAGTCCAATCTAATGGCATTTTTGTGCTAAGTAGACACAGTGGCTTCCTAAACTGGCCTGTTTATACCATCATACTATAAGAGTCATCCCCAGCACACTGCATGGTATTCTTATATGCATGTAAAGATATCATTCACATATTTCCATCCCCGAACATGGAAAAACGACCATTGCAATGGATAAAATTAGATTTGTTGAGTACATTTTAATATCTCTTCGTAGCTTGCGTCGTTCTGCAAAACTTAAAAAAACAATCGAACCCTAATCTTACGACTAAGACTTGCTCTGGCGCCGTCCATCTTGAAAAGACAAGGATACCCTCAGAACAGAAAAATAATCAGAAAAGAAAAATACTCCGAAAAGAGGCGAACCTTGGAAGATTTAGGTTCATTTCCTTTCTCGTGAAGATCATAATAACGTGTCTCTTTTTCGTGTTCCGTTTAACCCATTTCGTTAAGGGACGTGACCCAAGTCGGGCCCTTTCCACAAGCCGGCTCCCTTTTTCTAAGACAGCTCTTCCATCATTTATCCATTCACACTGACTGGAAGCAATATCATATTTCAACATAATCGTCCCTGTATGGTGTCTTCGTTCCTTGTCGGACAGAAATCTGTGACCCCAGACAGAATCGGACAATATCATAATCCCAACGCAATAGCTTCATAGTGACAAAAGTATACCTCTCCATCATACTGTTCGTAAGCTTTATGTAGAACACACTGACCCACTGTGAAGGATGTGACCTCTTCTGTATTTGCAGTCTTTTTACGACAAGATGTTCACCATCTGTAGGCCACTCTCACGGAGAATTTGTGACTGACCAAAGACTGAACGAATCACACAATCAGCCGAGATTTGGACCAACTGCACGACTATCCAAAAAGTCGGGCGTTTCCAGGGACTTGTTGCAATCCCCCCCTCCCTCCCACCAATAAACAAGACAGAAAATTATAATGAATTCAATGCTGTACGTTCTGTTTTTCTCAGATCAAGGAAACATCACCAATTCCTTTTTGCGTCAATCTGACTGCTTTCACCACAAATGATGTTGGGGGCTTTTAAGTGAAAACAATGAAGTTCCAGATAAAGGTATCAGTTATCGCAATAGTATGCCTTTGCCTTTTTTGCATCAGCTATTAGGGGAAAAAACCTTGTGGGTCTCTCTTCAAACTCACACAAAAACGTATCGAAATTATATTAAAAGGATAACAAGCTATTGCTGGTGTTTATAAGAAAGGGTTTTTGCACAGTCTTTCGTTTGGGTCAGTTATAATTGAGAGCCTGGTGCCCTCCGAATAGCTGTGTGTGGGATTTCGCTCTTCTGTCCACAACAACTCTCTCTCTCTCTCTCTCTCTCTCTCTCTCTCTCTCTCTCTCTCTCTCTCTTCCGCTCTCTCTCTCTGTGGACGTATGTATAATAAAAGTGGCTAGGAGTTACAAGTATGTCCAGAAACAAGTGAAGATACTTTTTTTTTAAATTCCCTTAATATCCCACTCTCTGGCGCTGACCAACAACTCATCAATTCAAAGACCCAGACATGTATTACTTAATCGTAGTGTCATAATATGCCACGGGGACAGGGATAGGAGCGACAACAGATGCCATATTACATTATTATACCTTAGCAATATTTTATACAATTATTTCGTAATTACGTGTACAGGTCTTAAAACATAATGGGTAAATGCGCGTACACTGAAAACCAAATTTCTTAATGAATGATGGCCCTCCTGATGCCCCAGTTAACATACTACACAGCAACAAACATATTTTTATCTCCAATTTCCGTCAATGTCCGATGAACTCCGGGCCTCTTCGTTGGGCGCACACTGGAGCTGTATAGCCGGCACATCAGAGGTTTGTGCCCGAAAGCTGTGCTTCATTGACATGGCTTTACATGTCATTAGTTTGCGGAAAGCGTACCGAAAGTCCTTCGAAAATAATGCGTACACACAAGGGTTCATTGCAGAGTTGAGGTAACCAAGCCAAAAGAAGATCGAGAAAATGAGGGGTGAAACACACGAGTCACAAAAAGCTCCCACCAAGTAGATTGTGAAGAAAGGCATCCAGCACACAATGAAAGCTCCAACGATAATGGCTAACGTTTTAGCCGCCTTCTTCTCTCTGTTGAATTTCTGCATGTGAAGTCTCAAAGCTTGACCGGGTTTCTGACCCGAAATACGCAACCTTTTCGGGTTTTCACGCATTGAAGCAGATCTATTGTAGTGCAAGACAGAGTCAAAAGCTTGAATTGATGAAGAACTTGGCAACGGTGAGGAGTTAAACGACCCGCCTTGAGGGTGTCCACATTTTGCTACCCTCGTCCTGCTATCCCCCGACGAACTGTCATCAGAGTCCAAAGAGGTTCCTCTTGCTGTCTGAGATTTTAACGCCATGCACCTACCACAGCTCCGGTGGTTTCCGTTGTGGTTGAGGCGCTCTTGGTGCTCGGGTGCTCGTTTGTCCGTCTTCCAGCAAAATGAGCCACTTGATTGTTTCATACTCTCCGAGGACGGACTGCTGCGTACAATGTTTCCGTTCCTCATCCCCTCACAAGTCAGGTCCGTCAGCGTGACTAGGCTGGCGTCACTGCTGCGGGGATGAGGGATTGATTTGTGCGCACTAGAGCCCCCTCCCTTATCTTTGTCGTTACTAGAGACGTCTCTCGCTTTTCCTCCACGCCCACCCCAGCTGCAGCTTTTTAGCCCCCCATGACCTCCTCTGTGAATACGTAAAGTCACTGAGCTCATTTTAGACCCGTCGTCGCTTTCGTTGGCGCTGTACTTCATCTTTAACTCTCCCTTTTCGTAGGCATTGATGGTTCTGACTGCTGCTCGATAGATCTGAAGGTAGAAGAAAACCATCACTAACATAGGGATAAAGAAAGATCCGAGGGCGGCATAGATTCGGTATCCTCGTGAATTTGTGAGCTCACACGTTTTCGAAACGGCCTCTGACGATTGTTCTTCTAAGCAGGACAAATTGACATTTGAGACCCTAGTAAAATTGTTTACAATAGCACAGGATATATCTGTCAGCGCCTGCGTTGTCATCACAATAGCATCAGAAAAATCAGGGGCCTCACTCGTGTTGCTGTGACGGAGTTCCCCTGAAGTATCGTTCCAGCCAATCAGAGGAGGGCAGCAGATGATGAAAGAAAAGAGCCAAACGGAAGCCACCAGAGTTTTGGCCCTGCGCGAAGACATGAGTCCCGGGTAGCGGATCGGGTGTGTGATGGCCAGGTATCTATCCAGGCTGATACAACACAGGGTGAGGATCGAGGTCGTGCACAGCCACACGTCCACAGCAAGCCACACCTGTCAACAGAGGAAACAGAAGTGTTGGTTTAGAGTAGATTTTATTTTCTTGGGGGAGTGGGTATTTTTTTAAAATTTATTTATTTATTTATTTATTTATTTATTTATTTATTTATTTTGGAAGGGGTGGGGGTAAACAACAATAACCTGAATTATTGCATATCCTTGCTGAATATGCCAAGACCTTTCGCATTATGGTAAGATTTCTTAATTGATAAAAGTGCTCTTTCATTTCTACTAGGAGGGAACATTTTTAAACATAAGCATATGCATTTGATGTGGTCATGAAACCATGAATGAAAAAAAGATATTACGTACCGGAACGGATAAAAGCTATTTGTCTAGTGTGTGTGTGTGTGTGTGTGTGTGTATGTGTGTGTGTGTGTGTGTGTGTATGTGTGTGTGTGTGTGTGTGTGTATGTGTGTGTGTGTGTGTGTGTGT